GGGCCGGGGGCCGGGGGCTCGAGGCCACCCAGGTGACCGCGGTCGGAGGGCCTGTTTTTCCGGCCTCGTGTGGGGTAGAAAAGTCATCTAGAGAAGGAGGCAACTTGCTTCCCGCCCAGAGCTAGGTTAGCTGCTTGCTACTTCCGTGGGCCGTTCCCTTTCCCTTCCCCCTCAGGCCGTAATTCGGAGGGTTCCGAGACTTCCGCAGCGACCAGATCCTGGGAGCTCTCTTCTCTCGCCTGAAGACAAATATACATATCTCGGCCGAGGGGTCTTATCCTCAGAGGGCCGTATACCCTGTTCTCGGCTTCGGCTAGGACTCGCGACCACCGAGAGCACTGCAGGCCTGCTCAAGGCGGAGCCGCCTTAGAGCCAGCCCTCGCCTCCGCCCCCGCACCGCCCAGCCGGGCGAAAGTCTGGTTGGCTTGTTTTCCAGTCATACTTGCCTCTGTCATTTTGAAAAGTCCCTATATCTCCTCCCTCCTGCCCGGCCCCATCCCGGAGAACTGACTGAAACTGGGGGCCAGATTTGGCGGCTGCAGCTCAGGGCGCCACAGCGGATAAGCGCGGGGAGATGCGCAGCAGGAGCAATTCCGGGGTCCGCCTGGACGGGTACGCGAGACTGGTGCAACAAACCATCCTTTGCTACCAGGTAAGAAGGACCCACCCCTAAGGAACCCGCTGCAGTGCTCTCTCCCGTCACTCATTCTCTTTCCCAGATCCTTGTCCCCTCTTGTGACCTGAGAGCTTGCGGTTAAGAGGATTCCTGTTTGAGTGGAGACCTTTGCTGGTCAGTGATTACCTCCCCATTACCACCGAGTTCTTACGAATCAGGGGACCCTGCCTCTGTTGCTGCTACTCTTTACAGAATTCTTTGACCATTGTTTAGGACAAAATGAGCCCCCTCGGTGTCTTAGGTACAAAATGCCTCTTTTGTGTTGACTCTGCTGCTTTGGATGAGAGAGCAGGTGTAAGACTGAACAGAGCACACTGAATGAGGGCGGTAAACTGGACTGGAGACAGTAGACAGATGTAAAGAAGCTCTTGAGGTCTGTATCTGACTCTGTTGTTCCTCCCAAGAGTTACCTTGTTAAAGACCCACCTGGGAGGGCCCCAGGGCCTGCTCTGATTGCTGTTTTACAGATTAGAAAACGCAAGGTTACCAATGTAGGCAGAGTCAGACACAAAGTTGGTCTTCCGCTCCCATTGTTCAAAGGGTCTTGTGAAGCTGCCCATGTGGTGTGAAATATGAACATACTTGTGCTTTGTTCTGCTAAAGGTATGTGTGAGTCCCTAATGTAAGACCACTGAACTATTTTTATTCCTAGTGAAGACAGCAGTTATATTGCTTGCCCTCAATCAACAGCAACTATTTTTAGGGGCCTCAGAATCAAAGAAGGAAATGGCATTCAGTGGTTAGACAGGCTTGGCCTGCAAGTTAGAAAACCATGGTTACTCCCAAGCTACTGACCATTATTCCTTCTTTCTTTGTTTGTTTGTTTTTTGAGACAGGGTCTCACTATGTAGTTGAGACTGACCTGGAACTCACTGTATAGCCCAGGCTGGTCTCAATCTCACAGTGATCCTCTTGCCTCCTGGGATTATAGGCCTGCGCCACCACACCCTGCTCCTTCTTAGTTTATTTCTCAGATTTGCTATCTGTTGTGGCTTGTATCTAGATATCCTCTCAAAGCTTCATGCAGTCAGGTGGAGTTTTTCAGAAGTGACTGGATCTAGAGTATGTGATGCTGAGATTAAAGGTGTATGATGACTTACTTAGTCCATTGATTGATTTGGCATAGTTCTGGGTAGGATTAAGTGTGCCCCACCCAAAGTGTGAGTGCTACCCACCCTAACCTGGATACAGTATAAAGTACAGAAAGAGGGCTGGTGCCTGATTGGCACTCATTGCTTGCTGCTTCCTGCCTCTTGCCTGCCATGAATGGTTTCTCCTCTGTGATGCCCCTCTGCCATGCCATCCTGCTTTGGAGCCAGCTAATGATGGACTGAAACCTCTACAAACTCTGAGCTAAATAAACCTTTCCTCCTTTAACTTTGGGTGTGGGGTATGTCATCTCAGCAATGAGAAAAAGTAACTAAGTCCCCCATTCAGGAAATATTTATTGTGTATCTGTTATATGCAAGGCACTGTACAGAGTTCTGAGCTTACCAAAAAAGAATAAATTAATGTAGTGCAGCGACCTTTTTGTTTAAGGTATAGATCCAGAGTCCTTTATCTGAAATTCTTTGAGCCAGATGTGGTTGACAAGTCAGAAATATTTGATTTTAGAAAGGTAATATGCATATATGGTCCCTCCCCTGTTTCTCTCTGGCACTGCTCACCTGCTCTGCTTCCCAGCCGAGCAAGTACTGAATCTCCTGAAACTGTGAGCTAAAATGTATAATAACTGCAGCAGAGTCTGGGTAGCACCCTTTAATCACATATGTAACGTTGTTATTTCCACGTCACATCAGACTGTGCATATCTACACTAAGATAAGCAGTGACCAAAACGAATTTCGCCTTAGTTCAGGTCATCTTATACCATCAAATCAGCTTGCTGCAAGCTTATGAGAACACTTTAAATTTCTGGAGTTTCTTAACTTTGGATTGCACATGAACGATTATGATCTTCATTTAGAGAGCTCTGTGGAGGGACCCCTAACTGAGTTTGGTGGGTATATTAGTCAGCTTTCTCATAATGGGACAAAATAACTGACACCCCCAACTTAAAGGAGAAGAGGTTTAATTTAGCTCAGTTTCAGGAGATTGAGTATGTGGTGGGCAGGCTCCGAGGTAGAAACGTGATGGAAGGGTATGGTGGAGCGAAGCTCTTAGTTCATGGTGGCTGGGAAGCAAAGCAGAAAAACAGTGCCAAAGAGGAATGGGCAAGGGACCATATATAATACCCAAGGCCACTCCTCAATGACCCTTCAGACATACCCAGGACCATGTTCTACTAATCTGCTACCCAACGGCGGTGAACCTATGGCACATGTATTGCAGCTGGCTGTTTGTTGCCATTGAAAGTTCAAAAAGGCTATCACCATGCTAGGTATTTCTTTCTTTCTTTTTTTTTTTTTTTTTT